GCTGGTAGCCCTTAAACTAAAAAGACAACTTCAACAGGGGATCTCTGTCATGTGTGTGTTTCAGTGCTCAGCCTGTACCTTGCTTTCTCTCAGCTTTTTGAAACTATGCCCACTGTCAAATTTCCACCAGAAACGGTCACCACAAACATCTAGATGGATTAGCTAAACCTGTGCTTTCCCATTATGTTGTATCATACAACAAGACCCTATGAAGTTCTTGGTTGAGAATGTCCCCTGACGACCTACAGAAAAAACAGCTCGAGCAGATGTTCCTCCATTGGTTCACTGCAGCCCAAGCCAGACATCTTCTCTGTGGATAGGAGCAAAATAGGCAGAAAACATTGGTCATGGACCTTTCTGTACATTACAGCACTGTTCAGAGATCGTGGAACTTCATAAAGATATCAGACATACTCCTCCATTGCAATGAGCTACATGTAAATAATTAATTTCCTGGATACACTCAGACAGATATTCTAATTACACAGGATTTGCTACTGGACACACATCTTTGAAAATAATTTCAATGCAATTATAAAGGTATTTTGTGTGGACAACACCATGAAAAAATATTAAACGTGCTATTTATTCATTCAGGGATAATATACTATTTTTTCTGCATATTTAAAGTTACTTGGCTAATTAATTAGATAATACAGGCTAGAGTTAAGTTTTCATTTTTCATTGCAACACATTGCATAAATGATAGTGTTATAAACATGTACCTCTGCATTAGGTAAGTGCATTTTGGTCAGCTGATTGAGTCCGATTTTTATTTTTGTAATTCTTTCCCAGTTGATCTTTTTTGTACTGTAAATTTAAAGTAGATCGATGACTACTTTTACCTATAATTTGGGCCTTCCAAACAGCACCAAATTGTGTTGTCTCACCCTTCCATTTGTTACAGTGACTAGTGAAGAGAGGCAACATATTAATGCCAGTCCTGTAAAAGTATCTGTGAAGAAAACATTTTTTTACCTCAAAGGGTAAGTTCTATATGAGTTTATATTACGTATTTGTCAAAGGACTTTTTTCCCTGTTAAAGATGGAGACATATGAATCATAAAAATATTCTATTTGAGACAAAATATCACTACAGATATGTCACCACAAAAATCAATTGTCAGTATATGTTTAAGAGTAGCAAATCAATGTTAACTGATTTGCCTAAAAATGCCTATAGACTGTGGAATGTAAACCCTCTTTCAAAATTCACATAGTATTTCCAATTTTTTTTTTTATGTAGTGAAGTTGTTATTACATACACATATTCTAGAGGCCTTTCGAGAGTTTTAATTTTGAATAAAAATTATATGTAATTTCAAAGTCTGATATCCTGCCTGTAGTCACAGAACCCACTTGCAGGACTTGCTGCTACTGATGGCTTGTGGTAATGTATCAATTTCTCCTGACAGAAATGTGCACAGGACAAATTGGTGAACGTAATTTCAGCCATATGATGTCATTACAAATACAGCCGTAGCTCTTCCAAAAGTGGACTTTATTGTTAATATAAATATATATCTGTAATTACTGACATTTATATTATTTGGCTCCTGTCCTAAGATATAGATACAGTGATGATAAAAGGGTCTTGCAAGCCCTTACCTAAGCAAACTGTGCTTACTAATTACCTCCCATGGTTCTGGGTTCCTGTAAATAAAGTTACTCATATATTTATAAGCAAGTCAAAATCTATACACATATTTCTAAATGTAACTTATCTTACTCTTTTGGGCAAACAGCACTGTCTACTGCTTAGAAAAGAATGCTAAGAGTGAAACCATCCAGGATTCTTCCCAGCTTCTGCCAGGATGTGACTCTGCCATATCACTGGATATCCGACTTAAATACTTTATCCAGTCCCATTTTTAAATTGATTGAGGCCTGAACCAGAAGATCCTATGTGAGTAAAAGGATGCATTACTTTAAAGTAAGGAATGGCTGTTGATTTTTCATCACTGTTTCTGGACAGACTGGGGTCAGAGGGTTTGTTTCAGAATTGTGTTTGTTCAAAAGGTGTAGCTTGCAAGACACGGGTTAGCACAGTGCCACATGGAAGACCTCAAAGCAGCAGCCTCAACATTTCTCCCTAATGAGAGAAGGAAAAGAAAGTCCCTTAGGTATGCACTATTCAGGGAGAGAACCTAGAGTTCCCATAGGAATGCAGGATTTAGGGAGAGAACCAAGACTCTTTACCTGAATGGAGAGAGAACTGATGAATTCTGGACTACCTGGTATCTTAGGGGCACATCTTGGTTTAAGAATTATATGGATCCCAGGCTGTAACATTTTCCAGACATTCAGTTTGCAACTACTAAGCCAGCAATTTTATGCTTTCCCTTCCCTGACTCCAACAGTACCGCAGTATAAGCAGCCAGATTTTCTTCTGCATTGTGTTTTTTATCCATTCAGCCAAAATTAACAGTCTTCTAGGATAACGTATGCCAAGTGAATTTAAATCTTGTGGACTCAAATCGACCTAAAGTTGATGGATACATTCATGCCTACTGCTGAAATCTACCCATTACACAGAACTATGTTAACTTACCATAGAAACATCTCATCTAATAGCACAGATGATGTTGAACTAACTAATTACATTATGGCACATAGACAATGAAAAACATAACGAAGATGACAGCACAGCAACAGCAGATGCTGCACAAAAGAAAAATTAGAAAAATATTGTTCTGCAAAATGCTCTCAGTTAAGGTTTCCTCTGTTAAAATTAATCACAAAAATTAGTGATGATCAGATTTCAGAAAAAGATATGAACATTTTAATGCAATTTGGAAGACATCATTAAGCCATTTTAAACTCTGCTCCTTGTGAAGGTAATTCCTGTTTTTTGTATCACTCTCATTTTTAAGACTAGTAAACATTTTAGTGCCTATGGCAGAGTTTCTTGGTAGAATCTTTTCCAATAAGGAGAGGTCCTAATGGCTCTCCCAGAGTCTGAATTTGGTAGCTTCCAGCCATTACAGGCTAAGATAATTAGACAATGTAGATTTTATTTGAGCTTGGCATTTGCTCTGTTCTTGTGCTCTTAACTGTCAGAGAGCTAAAATATCAGGGATTGTTGATTATCTGTAGCATGCCTTGTTGCTTTATATATTTTAAATTGTACCAGATCCTACAACAAATCTAAAACTGCTGAGTATGTTTAAATGTAATACGTACATGGAGATTACATCCAGATGATATATTTCATAGACCTATGCTAAAAAAAAATTAACCATAACACTGATCCTCTCCCCTTTCCCTGTGGAAGCTTTCCATGAGCTTCCAAGTCTTCTTTAAGCAGACTCTGGACATATCCCAGTCTATGGGGAAACATAGAAATAGAATTTTCTCCCGTGTTTAAATCATACCTGTGGTGCCATTCAGATGTCGATATTTTATTTTCTATATATTTAGAAGCAAAATGTATCTTCGCTATCCTACGCCTTCCCAAGTACATTTCTCCCAGGTAGACGATTTTCCTTTCAATGCTAAATGATTGCTGGGCAGAGGGTTCCGTGCCCGGCGCAGGCCGGGGCTGCAGGGCTGCGGGAGACCCACAGGTGGCGATGTGGATAAAGCACACCTGGGCAGCCACTGCCGGACCGGGCTCGGGCTCAGCGCCAGGCTGTCCCCGGGCGGGCGGCATTCCTGCGCCGGGCGCTTACTCGTTAGGAAATGCTCCCGGGAAGAGTTCCGTGTGCCTGTGCGGGGCACCGCGTCTGCGTTAGCCGCCGGCAGGGGCAGGTTTAAAATGTTTTGTTGTCTCGGACATCGGGGGCGCGCACGGAGCTCGTAGCTCGGTCACGCTGCCACCACCGCGTACTTGGCAGGGCAGCGCACGTGCCCGCGGGCGGCCGGGCCGCCCTGCCCTGCCCTGCCCTGCCCTGCCCTGCCCGCGGCTCACGTCGAGCGGGGCCCGAGCGCTGCTGCCGTCCGGCGAGCGCTGCATTGGCTGCGGCTTACGTCAGCGGTCTGGAATCGAGAAACTCCTGCTAGGAAGTTTTTCTGTCTTTTAACAGATCCCGGCAATGTGCCGCTGAGGGGGCTCCGCCGCTCGCGCGGCCGCGGGGTGACAGGGGGCGTGTGTCCCCTGCGCCGGGACAGCACCCGCGTTTAGGAGCACTTTGTTATGCCGGGGGTGTGTTCCGGCGATTCGCGGCCGTGCTTATCCTGTGTGCTGCACTTAGGCCTCACAGGCGTGCAGTTCATACGTAGTGGGTTTTTCATAGTTTTAAGCGTCCCCACTAAACATTACTTCTTCCGATTTGCCGTCATCCCCGGGCTTCTCCCTCAGAAATGCAGCTGCCTGCTCTGCTGACGAGCTGTACCGCCAACTGCGGCTGCTTAACCCACCGAAACCTCCACTGGGGCGGCCACCGCGGGCCGTGCCCGCCTGAGTCCCGCAGCGGAGCTCCCGCGGGGAACGTGTGACAGTCGGCGGCTCGACACGGCCCCTCCGTTCGCAGGGCAAGCCGGGCACGGCCCGTCGCCGCCTCTCCCCGCCCCAGCGCGGGATCCCAGGACGGGGTGCGGGCACCGGGGCGGACGCGGCAGCGGGGGGCGCCACGAAGGCGGCAAGCAGCGGCTGCTGCGGCCGCGCCTCCCCTCGGCGCCTCCCCCGGCACGGCAGGGCCGCGGTGGCGGGGGAAGCGCCCAGCGGCCGGGAAAGGCTCCGACGGACATCGCTCCCCGGGAGGAGCGGGCCTGCCCTCCGGGACAGCCGTGATGACCCTTCGCCGCCAAGTTTCTCAACTGGTGGCCGGGAGCTGGCGGGCGGGGCGAGGCGGGACGGACACGGTGCCCTCACAGTCGCGCGCCTCCCCTCAGCGCCCGGGCGGACGGCGCGGCCAGCGCTGCCCACCTGACTCCCTCCTTCCTCTCCATTCTCCTCCTCCTCCTCGCCCCCTCCCTTCCTCTCTCTCTCTCTCTCTCTCTCTCTCTCTCTCTCTCTCTCCCTCCCCTTTTTTTTTTTTTTTTTTTTTTTTTTTTCCTCCCCTCTCACTCATTCCTTTGTCTTCCCGGGGATTGGCAGGTTTTATTATTCCGCCTGAACAAGCCGGGGGCGGATTGGCTGCGGCGGACTGACGAGGGCGCCGAGCCGGAGTGTAGTTGGGATTCTGCTCTGTCAGTAACACATGTGTGAGGGCAGCGGGCACACGCGCACCGTGCGGGCACACACGCACTTGCAGCCTCACGCTTAGACGGGCACAAGGGCCGCCCCCCGCGCCCCGCCGCCGCAGGATCCTGGCAGCAGCTCCGCGCCCGGCCCCGCTCAAACTCGCCGGCTCCCGCCCGCTCCGCTGAGGCGCTCCGGCGGGCCGCGGCCGGCCAGCTCCGCGCCGCGGGAGGCTCGGGAGCCGCCGCAGCCCGGAGAGGGGGCGGAGGTGGGGGAGCGGGGGGGAAGCGGCACAAAGTGAAGCCACATTGCCAAACTTGCCCGGCGATTGCAGCATCGAGCGGCGGCGGCGCCCTGCGTGTGCGGCTCAGCGGCGGGGACCGAGCTCTGCAGCTCCCCTCCCGGGAAGCGGGAGCTGGAGGAAGGACCCGGGCAGACGCCTCTCATAGCAATACCTATATTTTTCCAGCCTGGGCTGCCCCTTGCCGGGCGGGGGGCTCCCTCCAGCCGGCGAGAGGGCGAGCGCTGTGCTTATTTCTTTGCAAGAAGATCTCTTCAGGCACCCCGAGCGGCGCTCCCCGGCCTTTTGCAATATAGAGGGGAAGCAGGTAAGAAGTGCCGGTCGCTCCCCCGTGTCTCGCAGCGTTCGTGTGCGCGGTGCCCGCCCGCCGCCGTCCCGCTGCCCGCCGGGCGGAGGGCGCGGAGCGGGGCGCCGCGGACCCCGGGCATTGTCGCGGCCCCCCGTACAAAGCCTGGCGGCGGCCGCCGCTGGAGCGCCTTCCCTTACCCCCCTTCCCAGCTGCCGCCGGGAAAGGGCTCTGCCTGCCTCGGCTGTGAATGGAGGGGACGGGGGGGTGGGTGGGGGGAGGCTGGGGCACCCGCTTCCCCTGTAGTAAACACTGCTCTGAAACAGTGGCAGAAAAGATCAAAGTGAGCTCTGTATTTCTCTCCTCTCCGGTTCCCTTCCTGCCCCACACAGTCTTTTGTTTCAATCCAGGAGAAAATCGGTGAATCACCTAATTAAAACCAAGACATGAATTAAGCATCCATTTTTGTACTACAAATTTCCAGCTCTCCGCTTGTCCCTCCCTTGGTCTCCATTAAAAAAGCACCAGAGACGCTGTTAAAAGGGGGGTATTTTGCCTCTAGCTTCTAGCTCTGCTTTCTATTTCACTGACTCCTATCCCAGGACCAAAATTGCTTGGCTCTGTAATTACTAGAGTAAGCCTATTTAAGTTAAAAGCTTTCCCCCCCCAACTCTAAATGAAACTTGATGAGGGCCCGTCCTTAGTTATCAAGGGAGTCACTTTCTGGTCAGTCCTCTTGATTCATCTTTTTAGATTTAATCAGCATTAAGGTATTGCTTGTCCTTAAGAGCTTTAGCTTAATGGGGTTACTGGATGGTTTTCTCAGTGTAACGTTTCCCATTTTATATTTATACATATTTGTCTTCGACAAAGACAGGTTAAGGTGGTGGCATGGAGCCTTTTTCTTTCTTTTAAGAAATCCGAAGTGATTTAAAGCATAGGAAAACGGTTTAAAGACTCGGAGCAGGAAATGCAGATTCATTAGGCTGTAGCTGGAAACTGTAACAAAAGGCAATTCCTTGAACAAATGCATCAGAAATCAATTTACATAAAGGTACACGATGCGTTCGGATAAATGCAATGCTAATGGCTTTTAGAGTGGTTTTCTTTCCAAAGTCTCGGGGTTTTTGTTACAGCTTAATTGGTGCAGTTCTCCTGGTTTATTGTGCGGTCACTGGACATACCTCCAGGTACTCTTTCTGAGGAAATGTGTGTTTAAATCGGCCTCAGTTCTCCTCTTGCAGCCGAGTTGGGCCAGTGTCAGGAAAAGTTCGTCCTCGCTGCTCTGGACGTATCAGTCTGAAGGTCCTTAGCAGATAGCCAGATGCCTCGGCATGAGCACGTACGGCTTACAAAGGACAAAGACAAAACATGCTGCTTAATTGGCAGTAAATAACTTGATCTTTTTATAGTATAAGTGACTAGAGGAACACCGGGAGTTTATTGGACCCTGGATTGAAGGCAACAAATTAATCGGTTTAGAGTAAGCTTTATGAATTGATTCCTATATTATCTCTCGGTTGTCCTGCTTGCATAAAGCATTTATTAGAAAGTGAAAAATGCCCTTAGTAGCAGTTTCGGGGGCGGCCAGAGTAACCGCAGCCGGAGTGATGCACTTCATTACTGCTTTCCTAGGGTTGGTAAACTTTTTTTTTTTTTTTTTTTTTTTTTTTTTTAAGTAACAAAGCTTTAGCATTTAAACTGCTGATCAAGGGCAGATTAGCGAGACAAAAGTTGAGTATGTTTGTGTAGGAAGTTAACAGGCGTCCTAAAGTTCAATGATCTATTATTCGGGCCAGTGTCCTCAATCTGGAGTGTTTTCTCGGGGTGTTTTTAGTTCTCCAAAATAAAACTACAGAAAATAAAATCCCAAGGCCTCGAGGGCCGGTCCGGAGCCCCTCGTTACCGCCCCGAGCCTGCGGAGCCTCTCCTAGACTGAAAAACCAGTTTCACAACTTTTTTTTTTTTTCCCCTCCACTCTTCACACACTTTTTTTCATAAGCAAAACAAACCCCGGGACTGTTCCTGACTTGCGAGCTGCAGCTGCACAAGCCCGGAGCGGGGGGGCGGCGGGTTGCGCTCGCTCTGCTCCCCGCCAGCTGCGCGGCCGCGCCCCTGCCCCGCGGCCCGGCCGCGCTGCCCCCGCAGGGCCCGGCCCGGCCCGGCGCTGACCCGCCCCCGCCCCTCTCTCCGCGCAGGCCATGGTGAACCCCGGCGGCAGCGCGCAGCCGCCCCCGGTCACGGCGGGCTCCCTCTCCTGGAAGAGGTGCGCCGGCTGCGGGGGGAAGATCGCCGACCGCTTCCTGCTCTACGCCATGGACAGCTACTGGCACAGCCGCTGCCTCAAGTGCTCCTGCTGCCAGGCCCAGCTGGGGGACATCGGCACCTCCTGCTACACCAAGAGCGGCATGATTCTCTGCAGAAACGACTACATCAGGTGAGGCGATGGCCAGGCTGGTGAGGACAGCTTTCCCCCTTTCCTTCTGCCTTTTTCTCCATTTTTCTCTTTCCCCCCCTCCCTTTATTTCTCGTGGTGGGTGTCTGCAGGGCAGAGAGGTGGGCTGGCTCAGGATGGCTCCTTCCTTAGGAGGGAGAGACGTGCGGGTGCGGATGTTAGCGCCTAGCCCAGGGCGAGTTGCGACTGCCAAGTGGAGGAAAGAGTTGGGGGGGGGGCTGAACGACGACTGTAACTTTAAAGTGGTTTGTCAGCATAAAACAAGTCCTAACTAAAAATAAACAGCAATCAGAGAGGCTAAATTAATCTGCTTTGTTGTAGTGTTGAAGGAGAAGTGTGCATATCTGAACAGTAAATGTTAAAATCGTAGGGCTTAAATAAGGCTGTGGCAGAGGTGCTAAATAATGAAATGCCTGCCTTTAGTATCTGATTAATTATGATATTTACATAAGCACCTTTAAACTCCTTTGAGTGGAAACAGAATGACTCATTCTCTGTTCTCCTTGTGAAAGAGCTGATTAACCATCAGTTGGAGGGCCATGGATTCTACTTATAGCAAAAAAACAGTGGTAGATGTTTGTCTCAGCATTGTTACAGAGAAGCTTTGAACCGATATTTCTCTTAACTTCCAGTGCAGACAATGGAGGAGATAGCAGAGGAGGTATATGCTTTTGCCCTTTATTTCTTATCTCTTCCTCTTTTGAAGCTGTTTGCTTTAAATGCCACAGATTTGGGTAGGGGGAACTAAGCCTCACTAATCTCGCATCTGTTGGGGTACAGTAAGATTATGCAGAGTATCCCTTCCAACAAGTTTCCAATATAATTAATAGAATTCATGAGGTCAGGTGCCCGTACGATCTTTTCAGGTGAACTCAAGCTACTTAAACTCATTAATTTAAAAGGAGGCATTTTGAAGGATTACACATTTAATTTGAGTAAATGGTTTGATAGACTGATGCACATGAATGCTTCAAGGAGGTGTTCTGTTTCAACATTCAGTAATTAAAAAAAACAACAAAAAAGCCCCATACCTTCCCAGCATCACAGAAATGCTTAGTTAAAACAAATTGTGTTCTGTTTAAATGCTTCTGGCTCCTCATTAATAGTAAATGTCAAGAGCTAACCCAGGATTTCCCTTCTTTCTGATGGCCAAGAAGCTCCACTTTTTTTTCCTTTCTGAAGAAAAAATAACCCTACCAAAAGCAGCCATCAAATGTTACAAGTTTGATTATGTTGTAAAACTTAGGTTTGAGAAGATGCGGGTTGTGCACGGGGACCTCCGTAGTTGGGAGGATGGAGTTAAGATTTGGTTACTCTGATAGTGGAGTCTCTGACCTGGTACGTGGCTGTGAAACAGGTCCTGTGCTATGTCTGAGGAATCCTTAGCTTTGCTAGTTCCAGAGGTGTTTTTACAGAGAAATGCTAAAAAATCAGCACGTTGTGGGTGCACAATGGTGCTTTTTGGTCATCATCCTAAGCAACAAGCCTAAGTTGGGCAGAATAGTAACTAAATAGAGCAGAACAGTGTTAGAGAGAGTCTTGTTTGAAGTGGAAAAATTGACATTACTGTTAAGATGCACTGAATAGTAGAGATTCATCACTCGACCAACACCATCAAACAAACCCTCATGTCTGATTGCTACTAATTAAAAAGAGAAGATGCGTCCACTGTGTCCCAGAGGCAAGTTCAGGCAAGCTTATCACAGTCCTCTGGTTTTGTGTTGCCAAAAATTAATACTCGTTTATTTTAATGTAGGCAATTATGAATAGGATGCCTTATCAGATGAGGGGTTTCAATTGATCGCCTGACTTCTCTTTAGATCTGTGTAATTTGACTTGCAAAAATAACTCTTGACAGATGCTTGCTGAAACTTGAGCTGGACACTGTAAGCTCAAGGTGGGGTAGGATGGCCTGGCACTGCCAGGGCTGTGTTAATTCGGAGCTTTCCCACTGGAAATGGACTTCACAGGCTTCCTCGTGGGTCACGCTGGCATGAGCAAGCCCTCGCCCTTGTTGTGTTTGAAATGGTTACGTTTGCTTTTGGCGGCAATGCCGCTCTGACAGCGGGTCTCGCCGCTTCCCCTCTACCATCCTTCTCCCCTCCTGGTTTTCCGTCCGGCTTCTGTGGTGGCGCGTTCTCTTCCCCAGGCAGGAGCCACGGGCGCAGTTCTCAGCCGGAGATGCGGGGCGCTGGACATAACTGGCAAAATGGGAAAGAGGATTGATTGGCCCGGCAGGCGCCAGGTGAAAGGGACTTGACTTCTTCGGGCCAAGACCACAGGGCCGTTTATTAATGAGCTTCTTAGCTGTCTCAGACTGTATGTGGGGTTTTTTGTTGTTACTTAAACAACACAACATTCCCCTTTCCCTCCCTCTCTCCCCCCAAAACCCGAAAACAAATTGGCCGTAGAGCTACAGCTGCAGCTTTCATTGAAGGCCAAGGTTCCTGGGAAAAGAGGGAGGTGAAAACCCCGGTCCGTTCCCCTCCCTCCCTCCCCACGGCGAGCAACGCGCACAGGGAGAGGAGTGGAGCGCAGCCCTCCCAACCTTGAGATGCCAGATAAAGCAGCAGCGTGGCAGCGAATCCGCACAATTAAAAGCTTTAATTAGTGTCTCCTCCATTTTCTCTTAGTTCTGATGGGTTTTATCTAATGAGATCTGGTCGCTGGCTTAGATCTGCTCGGAATGACGTGTCCGAAATGAATGAGAGCCGCGTCGCAAACAAAACATTTAATTAACAAAATTGGCCTCTAAGAGAGAGCAGGGAGTGGTGGGGAAGGGGGAGAGAGGGGAAGACTGCCCGGGCGCCTTTTAAAGGGGCAGCGCCCGGCGCCCCTCCCCGGGCGGCCGCTCCGCGCAGCGCGGCGGGGGCGCAGCCCCGGGGCGGGGGCGGCCGGGCCCGGCCGCGCCGCAGTGAGGCCGCTCCGGGGAGGGGGCCGCCGGGCAGCCAGTTCATTTCCCTGGTAATCAGCGGCAAGCTGCTATATTCAGGGAATGCTGTCCCTTTAATTGAACAGGCTAGGTAATTAAATGGCACTTTTCCAATAGGACGTGCTAGGTAAATCTAATAGTTGGTTATTTAATATCACTTTGAAGTCTGCCCACTCAAGCACAATGACAGCACAGGAGCATGTGAACTATTAGCTAGGAAAAAAAAAAAAAAACAGGATCTCAAAAATTAATTAAATCGCATGCAATTTAGGGGGAACGTTTATCTTGATTTGTCATAACAGAATTAATTCAAGGCCTCCAATTCACTTGGGGGCAGATCTGTTACTCTGAATTAACCAAGCGTAATTTGGCTGGTTTTTTTTTTCCCCTTTTTTTTTTCTTCCTCTTCTCTAATGCAGCACTTGCCATTATGCACAGCCCCCCTTTTAAGTATCAATAGCTTCTGGTGCTTTTAAGGTGCTTGGTCTCTAGTTATTCTGAAGTACCTTTAATGGACTTGGCTTCAGGCATAATTTCTGTGTTGCCTTTCTTTGTTACATTTAATATAGCTGGCGCAGAATTTAGATTAAATGTGGGGAATGTACAAAAACACTGATTGCTTCTGGATCAGTAGGTCTGGATGTGCATTTCTCTTTGCTAGGGCTTGGATATATGTATGTGGACACAAATGTGCACCATGTCGTGCAAGAATCAGAGTGCTTAAATCTGTCTCCACGATTTTGGAAAGCAGTGGAACCTTACTTTGTTAGTACAAGTTGCTAGAGACATGTCTCTGCTGATGCTGAATTTTGAGCAGCAAGATGGGAAACTGGGTTGAGAAGATTTCTTGCTGCTTTCATTCCCACTCTCCTACAGAAAGTTCTGAAAAAAAACCCCACCAGCAAGAAAAAACTAGAAGCATTTGGGGGCACGGGGAATGCTGTTTTGGAACCACACATTAGTTAATTTAAGGTGGCTCAGTAAAATGCTGCTAAGTGTAGAAGAGCTGCCTTGTCCGTAAAGGGAACCTCTTGATGTTTGTGATTGATTGCATTGCCCAAATGTTGAAATATTAATGACCTTCTTGGACTGAGGACCCAAAGAGGAAACTGAAACCAATTCTGTCATCACAATTAAAGAGTCCCCTGGCTTTAATTAGCCTGACCTGGGGTATCTCTACCCATTGCTGCAGTTAAAGAGAAAAGAGCCCATTAAAGTCCAGTCTGAGACCGATAGCTACTTAATTGAGCACCTAAAGCCTCAAGCCTTTTAAATCAAATACTGTCCTGGACAGTCCCCCTGGTTAGATAATTAGCTCTCCAGCTTCCCAGAAACCATGCAAAACAACTTTTTCAGTAAAGAATAGTTAATATGGAAGACTTCCTTTACTGGTAAGAAGAAATAACATTTTTTTAAAAGATAAAACTTCTTCCTGTTAATGGCATTAGAGAACAAAACCATTCATAACAGTAGAGGTGGAAAAATAAGTTTAATTTTGTTGGTAAATAATAATAAGTAGCAGAAAACTGTTCTGAGTTTGTAAGTAATTTTTATGAATTTTAGCAGAAGATTCAGATGAAGTGGCTTCCCAAGGCTTCTCAAAGAGTTGTTCTGGTAACATGCCTGGGGAAAACTTAAGATGTGTGAGAGCCTCGGCATTAGTTTGACTCCATTTATTAGAATTCACAGACATTCAAGGTGTGGGACCACTCTAGTTCAGAGAGATTAGTATAAGGAATGCTTAATGAAGACAAGTAGTGCAATGAGATCAGCATTCCGAAAGCTGTGTTTTCAGTTGGGTGATGCAATTGTACAGGGGGAAGAGGGGGGTTGTGAGAGTCAGCTCACCACATTCAGATTCTCCTGGACAACTGACATCATCTGTCCATCTTTGCCCTTCTACCCAGCAGTGCCCTTGCTGCCACCTCCTTGCTCTGGATTGTTGGATCTTTGCTCTGGAAGTGTAGCAGCGCCTTTCTGCCTCCTCTCACAGCCGTTCCCCGTGCGCTGTCTCTAGTGCCAACTTCATTCCTAATAATGATGAAGGAAGAAAAATGCATATTGCAATGCTTTGGAAGTAACCTCGGTATATCGTGTAACTATTCTGAACTGGTCCTGGTTTGGAAGATACCCTAATAATGGACCTTTAGTTTCCAGACAGTTTAGTCCCTTTGGCGGGAGGTCCTGGCAATGTATTAGTTCAGCTTTCCCTTTGTAACCGCTGTGATTCTGCAAGAACGTGTCAATGTGTCGGGGATCTCAGACTAATTAGTTTTGAAATGGAGTTTTGATTGAACTCTTCAAATCGATGCTGCTGCAAAATTTGTTTCTCAGCTTCCTATTAAAAGCCATCTTAAGGGGCAGTTTTACTACTCTCTCTGTCGTTCAGTCGATACATTTAATAACAACTTACAGGCTATTTTCAATAAAGTGGCGACAGCAAATTAGTAGTTTGAACATGACAAGCCTCCTCTGCAAGCTCAGATTCTGAAAATTCAAAGCAATTATTTTTATACAGAGGCACACTGCAATCATTCAGATTACGGGTATTCTGTTGTAATGTGTGTCCTAGGTTGACACAAACAGAATTTTATGACTTTATTTGGACAGGAAGGAGATGCAAATATTAATATTTATTATGACACCAATACGCTAATTTGTAAATCCTATTGCTGTGTTTTACATCGTACAGAAAAGTGGGTCTGTGACCCTGCCAGCTAGTTCAATTTCCTTTTTTACTGCAAAATGAATTGTGGTAGTCTTTATAAATATTTGTGTCTATTAGATTCTCGCGCAAAAGCAAATAAAGGTTTTTCTAATTCTAGCTAAGGCAGCCTGTAAAAGTAGAACTCAATAATCATTACTGTATTATATTTTGAATCGATGCGTTGTGCCTTTAAATGGATTTGAAGAATTATGTATATATTTTTCTTCACCACTCTTCTGCCTATTCCCCCCTCCCCCCACTGCGTGTGCCCCCCCCCATGGCAGATGTTGTGGTCTCATTTGATTGCATAGGAAAACTGCAGTGATACAGCAAACACCCAGAGAGATATGATGACAAATGGGTCCAGATCCCGGTAAATTACTTTCTGCTCAAATCGAAATTTCATTCAGTTTGTTGCTAGCAGAGATGAAGTAATCTAAATTGTGGACTCAGGAGCAGATAGAGGGAAGTTGGAGCAAGCATTTCATTATCAAGAGAGAGAGAAGGTTAGGATGAAAGAGATGAGCAGAGGCAAATCTAAAGTGTTGACACCATGATTGAAAAGGTTAACCCATACACATTATATATCAACCTGGATAGCAGAGAGTTTCTAATGGAAACTCTGCACTGATGGAGGTTTACTGGAGTTTCAATACACTGAGCATGATGTCTTCTTAGATATACAATCAAATCCTCTTAACCCTTTTGATGACTCATATCTCAAGATATGATTAAAGTACAAAAGAGTTCTTCATATAATTTCAAGGACACAATGCATTTAAACTCCAGTCATGAATTGTATCTTTTTTTTATGATGAACCCAGTAATCTGATAAAATGTGTGTAGTACAGAATTGTTTGTGTTTCTAGAGGTGTAAGTCAATATTTCTGATTAAATCCTGTGTAACCACATCCAAGGTAAGGTGAAGCTACCAGTTGTTACACAAAAATAAACTTTTTCATATTATGAAACATAAGCAAGTTGGAAGACAGGGGTCAGAAGTCTAAAATAGTTGTGTAATAAAGCGTGGCAGTGATGTGCAAAAATACCTAGAGCCATCTGTGTATTAAATTATTCATGATCATCACCTCTGTTTCAGGTTATTTGGAAATAGTGGTGCTTGCAGTGCCTGTGGACAGTCCATTCCTGCTAGTGAGCTGGTCATGAGGGCACAGGGCAATGTCTATCATCTTAAGGTGAGGGGTTTTTTCTGTGTACTTTTGTTTTTAGCAGCTGATTAGTATTGCCATGCCTCTTTAGAGTAAAACCTGCATCTTCTTATGAATGAAATGCAAAATAATAACTAGAAGAAGGAGTATCTATTATAAAGCTTTGCTTAGTGCGTAGCTTTGTTCCCTCATAATCGGTAAAACTCTGCTTGAGTTATGTACTGCATAGTCCCAACAGGTAAGACTAATGCCATATTTGGAGATACTAGAAACCAAGCAGCTCCATATCTCAGCTGCACTTGCAGTCTCTGAAGTGTAATTTTCAAACCTGCAGCATACTTAATTTGTGCTGTAGTTTCACTTGCTGTCTCTTTCCTTTCCCAGTGTTTTACATGCTCTACCTGCCGGAATCGCCTGGTCCCCGGAGATCGGTTTCACTACATCAATGGCAGTTTATTTTGTGAACATGATAGACCTACAGCTCTCATCAATGGCCATTTGAATTCACTTCAGAGTAATCCACTACTGCCAGACCAGAAGGTGAATACTCCACAATTACTAATAAGCTTTCTTAGAGCTAAATGAAGATCAATTTCTTTTCGTTCTAATAGTGGACATTCCCTGCCCCTGCAAAGAGACCTTTAAGTAGCTGAACTTACCTTAAGTTATTTAGGCACAGAGTTTGGGGAGAAAATAGTAACCTTTTGAAGATAACTTATAGGGTGAGTGAGTTTATTTTGGTTTGGGCACGTGCATCTGTACAGGTGTTGAACTCCTTATGTACAAAGCAAAATGGAGAGCATACATTAATACAAACTTTTAAGAAAGACAAGTATTATATTTTATAATCTTGAAATTAAGGGCTGCAAGAGAGCAGGTTTCTGAGGGAGGCAAATTAGAGCCTTTAATATGGAAATAAATGCCTTGTGAAGAGAAAGTTCCTGGACTAAACTAATATATTTTATTTTAATATTAAAATTTTAGTTGAGGAAGGATGCTGGGGTACTCTTTCAGAAGTATTTGCTTGCCTGTTTTATGTGTCATAACTCAGATTTTAAAACCAAAGTGCTATTTACTTACCGTTCTGTAACACTGATATCTCAGCTAGAGATTGTGGATCTCTGTGGTTGATAGTTTTGGTTTCTAGCTAAATGAGAAAATGATGATTGCACAGATCGTAGAGTGAAGAAGAAGAAAAAAAAAATTCTGATCAACAGTTGTCTTGTAACTCTGAAACTAGATAGTTTTAGATGTATTTTAATCTTCTTAATCAGTCCTAAAGCTATGCAAGTGAGTGCATTTTGATAACTGCTGTGCCTAATTTGTAACAATTACTGTCAACCTTGAGTTAAGAGACTGTTCATTTCACCCTGGTCCAGAAAAGAGTGGATGTATGACTCTTGCACATAATTTTATTCACATCATATTTCATACTGATTATGTATTGATGACATTGATTCATTTACTCTTTACAGCGCCACTTGCATGGATATTAAATCTTATTGACCACAGATGAATTTTAATTTCAGATTGGTGATAGATTTTTCCATCAGCTCTGATAGTATATTTGACTTTTTCATCATTAACCCAGGCAATCACACAGCACTGAGTTATTGCAATGAAACAAAAAGTGCACACTTCAGTTGGTAATTCTTTATAGATTTACAATAGGAACTTCATTAATGTCTGTAAGGATCACAAAAAATAACATTTATCTGCAAGTAGGAATTGGGAAGATTAAAAAAAAATCCGGGACAAATGCTGGGCTGATCTGTTCTGTAGTGTGCAGTGTATTTTGTAGTGCTTTTAGTCAGTGGAGAAATATGTCTGAGAAAACAGAAACTGTTCTTTATTTTACTTTTTTTTTTTGTTGTGTTTCTACGTTTCAATATCTGTGTTTGCCTTTTTTTTTTCCTGTGCATAAATTTACTGATTAATTTTAAGTATTCTTTCAAGTCTTATACAGTGAATGTAATTACATCAAAATAAAGCATGGACCTTTTTTATTTACTTAATTTGTCAATCGAGGTGATGAGAGAATTGAGTACAAAAATGCTACATAGTTAGGCAGAACAAAGATAATTAAGATTGGAAGAGAATGTGCAGCCTCTTCTCAAGGAAGTACAAATACAGTTAAAGATTCATAGATTTATACTGTTGTGAATTTTAATGAAACAAATCTGTAATATAGACTAGCTAGCAGTGATTCTGTTAAATGAATATTTATAGGTATCCCATTTCAAAATATAGGTAAAACCATTCGTCTTTATACACTGCAGTAAAAGGTTTACCATTCTGAGAGTGGTTTATCCACTTGTCTTCTACGAATGTAAAGTTTAATGTAACTTCAAATAGGTGTCTAAATTGTCATTTAGTTTTATCAGTTTCTTTCTCTGCCTTAGCAAAACATAAAAATGATTTAGCTGCAATAAAAGCAGCAGACGTGATGAAGAGCACAGAACATGGCCAAGAGAGCTAAAAGGGGACTGGGCGTGCAGAGCTGCTGACTGTAGCTGCCTGGTGGGGGCTGCAGGCAGGAGTGGTGGGAGCAGGTTTTGGTGGGTCCGTCACTGGCTGCTAGTGGCATTGCTGCACCAGGGCTGAGGCACGTGAGCAGCTGTTGGGGAGAAGGTTGAGGAGACTTTGAGGGGGTTTTTCTTTACAATACAATATCTCTAGAAATTGTTCGTACTTCTGCTGTTTTTCAAAGGGAATTGCAGAGCACCGTAACTCCAGAAAACAAACACAGTTACAGAAATAAGTTGATAATTCATGTATTTGTCAGGTTTCTGAAACTTTGGAAGCTACAGGGGCTATTGCTAAGAGAGTTGTATTTTATAATATATTTATATATTTTTTTATATTTTATTTTTTAAAATAGTTTTATAGTTTGCTTTTTTAGCAGTCTAAAGATTTTAATATTATGTTTTATAGGAAGCTGCATGTTTTAGGGCCACTGATTAAAAATATTCTTCCTCTGTAACACAGTTGGCTGTAACAGATACTTTTTATTAAGCATTACAGATCAATCATTTTCCATGTTATTCTATAACTAGAGATTACAGAGATAGCAGAATATCCACAGGTTTGGGTTTTTTTTAATTTAACCAAAGAGATTGAGACACTCCCAGCATTAAAACACATTTTTGTTACGCATATGAAGGTGACAGTGATGAACTTACTGTTATCTCACTGCAGTTTACAGGTGGCCAGTGCAGGCAGTAAAGGCTGCATAGCCTAACATGGTTTAAAAACTTGGGTTTGTTTTTTTTTAAGGAGACAAATGCAGGGATGTTTGCCATTCCTGCCTTTAGCCTCCCTGAGGCAATTTACACATGTAAATTATAACTTCCCATTACTTGCTCTGTAGTTTAAAAACCCCTGTTTTCTCTAAACTCAGTACTGCTGGCCTGCTGAGTGCAAACTTCGTTTGCTATGTCCTGTGCGCCATTTCATTTGAAGGAGCTGTATTATCAAGAATTCTCTCTGCTTTTTTTGTACTGGTAGTATTCCTGTAGTATTTCTTGTTTGCAACAGTATTACCACCTACTGAAAGTGTATATTTTCCACTGGTTGGCAGTGTTCGTAACAAATGTTTGTCTTCAGCTTCCATACTTTTAAATAAAGTATGAGTTACATTACATCTCTTAGAGAAGATCTTAAAAATCTTCTAGTTTACATATCACTCAACAATTCCCTTGTAGTTACATAATTGGTGTTGTCTGTGTCCATAGTAGAAGATATTTGATGCTCATTTATTAAATATGCTTGCTGGCTGCTCCCTAATCTTTGTTCTGGACAGACAAATTACCTTTCTCACACTGAGCTTTGGCTCTGGGGAATTAAACCTCCAAGCTTCTACTACTTTAATTAGCTTGAAAGTGGGGGGTTGCAGTTACTAATAGACCTCAGGCTTTTAGTAACTTAGAGAAAGGGTGAGAAAAGAACTTCCTGGGAAGCGCAAAATGTCATTTAAAAGCCATAAAAATCTAATATATATTATTTCATTTTGGTAATTGCAAACAGATTGTATTTGAAGACTATGGATGATCATTCCTATTTTATCCATGAAAGTTTAGATTTTTTATTGAGTTAGACACTTTTAATTATCACAATTCATTAACACCAGTATGAAAGCACATGTTTGACTTCATATATTAAAATGTTTATGTAACATTAACTAACATACCAGATGAGGAATTTAAATGGGAGGGGGGAATCCTGAAATATCTATATTTAGCTCTTGTGCAATGCAGCATATTAACCAAAGTTGCCTTGGGAGGATATTGGCTGTACTTCATATTTGCTTTACACACTATTTCTTCCAATTACAAGATTATATTACTCACTTCTTCAAAGGCATGGCATAATGGTTCTTCCCTTTCAAACAGGCCCCAGAAAAGCCACCTTATTCACTGTATGATTTGTTACCAGAAAGTGCACATTTCTTGTTGTAGTCTTTTTTTCATGTCTGCTTTCTTTAGTAGTGAAACTGTGAAAAATGTTTGCTTTTTTGCTGTTTAAAGTTGAAATGTTAGCAATATGAATGGACAGTGTAGAAAGCCTTAATCAAGTCACAGTTAGAAAGTAGTCTAATAAAAAAGAGATTAGTGAATAGGGAAAAACAAAAGCAGTCATGTTGTAGTTTCCTATCTCAAATTTAGCTAAGATACCCATTTTTATTTCTTACAGGTCTGCTAAAAGGTCAGAGTAATGCAGAATGCGTGCCTTCATCTCAAATTTTGTTCATCACAGATGGATCCCATGTCTCCAAGTAGACAAGTCACCTTTGTAGCTAGCATCAATGCCAGCTCCATACCATTGCACCTTCTTTATTCTTGATTGCCCTTCCCACATTTATTGGTGTATTAAAATGACTGAATATGAACATTAAGGACTCCATGAACCTGGGCTAATGGGAGACTGTAGAGAAAATGAAAAAAGATCCACCGGAGGACATCTTGGGGGGGGCGGGTGGGGAAGATGACTAATGAAGCTAATTAAAAGAAGCATTGAAATCTGCTTTCTACCCTCATTAACAATTAGCAGGGCACTGGCCAGTTTGTACCCTGTGTTTTACCTTAACAACATTCTATTTGCTCTTTGTATATTTAAGTGTTGTAAGGAAATGTGTTTCAATCAAACTGAACATGAGATAAAGATGTGGCTTTTGTGATATTCTATCACAAACACTTTTATTGTATCTCTGTAAAATACAATGTATGTATGCATGTAAGTGTTTTTGTCCTAATGTTGCTACTTCCCATGGCAAAAGAAAAAAGAAAAAAAAAGAAAAAAAAAAGAAAGTCAGGCTCATAGCAGCTACTGTGTAGAAATTTTCACCTACTTCTAATTTGCTGAATGAAGAAAAATCTTTTATTTGTGATATTTTCAGAGACATTTGCTCTAGTATGGTGTATTTAAATAATAAAAAGTAAAACAAAACCGAGTATGGGTTTTAGAAGCTTTGCTTTTTTTAAAAATTACATTCAAAACATTCTGCAACTTCATCTTACATAGTTGTCACCTTAATTGTAAATTACCTTTAAAAGTAGGTTTTTGGTTTGGATTTTTTCTTTTGTCTTACGCCAAGAAAGGCTCTGGTAAACTACTTGACTGTGTTACCTGTGGCAAGGATAACAAGTACTACTTCAAAAAAATTTTTTTTTCATGGAGAGTCTTAATTCTGGTAACAACAAGTACATTATAATTGCCAGTGCAGTGAATTACAGCACACACAGAGGTACTGTGGTTTCTTTCTTTCCAGTTCCTTCTGTTTTAAGGATGTGCCTGTGTCTCTCAGATTGCAAGCATAAGAGGGTATGAATATACCATAAGAGGTCAAAAAAATAAAAGCCAAAGAAAGGTCTGTACCTCATGCTGAGCATTAGAATTGAGTATTCATGAAAAGGAATACAATAGCTATTCTCATCTGAACAACATAAAGTTGCGTTTGCTGGGGTGAGAGACTTTAACTTTCCAACACTGATAATCCTAAGGAAAGAAAAACCTGTTTCCTGGGCTGTTTCTGAGAGCTAGCTGATCTCAAAATATGATCTGTTTTCTGAAAGCAAACAAACAAAAACCAGCTCCCCACAAAGCAGTAGAGCCACCTCTAAGCTTACAAAAGGAACAACTTCATTTTGCGTGTTTTTACCATCAGCTGTTTAGTTGTAGATCTGTGCAGAATACTTTTGAGAAAAAAAAATTTGACTTCTCATGTTTTTAGCAAGAATACTAACATGCATCTGTGGCTTTCCACTGTATGCCTTCAGTCAGGAACTTGCAAGCAACGAATCTGTCTCTGCTGCAATTCAAAGCAAATCAATATTAAGAAATACTCTACTTTTATAGGAAACTAATACATTCATAACACACCATTATTTTGTTTAATTCTGTTTTTCAGAAGGTGTTCAGTGCTCAGCTGCTTGGTTATAGAGTGAGCTTGACTTATTTTTGTTGTGATGCCAATAACACAAAAAGCTGATTTATAGATTTATCTGTATAAACAACCAAAAGCAGATATTTTTGTTTCAGATTCTACTTCATGATGTCTAGAACATTGGAGGGCTGCTGAATTTTTTCTTTTAACAGTGCTTGAGGAAGCCCAGTTTCAGAGAAAAGAAAACATAGCAATGTACATTATCCAACAGTAAAGACAAAAGACTGCTTGCATAACATATAAAGCACAACATGACTGACACTATGTATGACTTTTAATTAAATGCACTTGTGGGTATTTTAAATAAGTTTCTAAGCTTTTTGATCTGGCATTAAAGTCTTCAGAGTCTGTAAATTGTGCTGCTTCAGTATCTTTGAAAAGACACTTGAAGTCATATGAATATAGAATTCAAGTATTAGTGAGACTGTAGACATCTTTTTATATTCTTTCAGTATAAGCACTCAAGGTACAGTATTTAAATCTAACATGTACAGATTTTTGGTTGTCCAATATAACCTAGAAGTGCTAAGAAGATAGCTAATAACTTATAGTAAGAAATGTAGTATAGCATTTAGTGATGTAGAGGTTGAAGTTCATTAACAGCTTTAAATAAACTATTATATGACTCATTTGTAAAGCACAGCTACCTATTTAATAGCTTACTTTAAAAGCATTTCTTAAGTTGCAGACCTATAAGATTACAAATGTCACTCATGTTAGCATAATCCACATGCAAGTGATGAAGCCTTTGCTTTGATGTGCTAAATTGCAGGAGGACTAATGGAGCTATGAATATACAATAGAACATATTTAAGTAGTATTCTTGCTTTAGGTAAAACACTTTCTTGAAACCAGAGGCATTTCACACAATGAAACAGGCTGTAATGGGGACGGTAGGTGTGGGCAGAAGGCTACTGGAAACACTTAGATTTGTCCTTATGTGAAAAATCACCTTTTTTTAAGGAGATCTGTGAAGAAAAACACATACTTGTTCACCTTTTATCACATGCATTTGCTGCACTGAGGCTGAAATACACCCTCTGCATTTAGTGCTGCTGAAAAGTCAAATAATCATTCAGTAAGAGCTTCCCTTTCAAAAATGAATGCTGTTAAAAAAAGAATCAAAGGAAATATTACTAATCTGAAATCATCCTCATGAACCTGGATAAAATGCACTGTCTATACTGCATCTAAACATCTCAATCATATAAATTGTCACTCTTATTAATGAAACAATTTTGTAAAAAGATTGCCCTCTAAATGGGTTTAATGTTTTTACCTATCCAGCTGTCTAGTTATGAGATTTACGCATCCTGGCAGGCAGTGGGACATTAAGCCTTTCCAAACCAAATTCTGTTTGCAACAAGATACTGTCTTTTCAGTCCTACATGATTTATCTTTAAATATTTTAACAGGTTATGCAGTATCTTATGAAATATAAAATGAGAATGTCTTAACAAAATGAAGCCTATGAAATTAAGTCACATCTTCAGAATATTAACCACACCAAGTTTGTCTCCCTTTTTCCCTGTTAGTTAACACCAATAAAATTTGCATCACCTAACATTAGGGTAAATACTAAAAAAACCCAAAACTCACACTGTGGCAGAGTATGCCTTGTTATCAAGGCAGTGGAGTCACTGCTCCTGGAGGTGTTTAAGGAAAGACTGGACATGGCACTGAGTGCCACAGTCTGGTTGACATGGTGGTGTTCAGTTTAACTCTATGATCTCAGAGGTCTTTTCCAGCCTGATTCTATGATTTCAAAATATCATTTCAATTTAAACCTTTAATCAAAGTATTTTGCTTATAGTTGAATGTGAAGTGTGCAGCTTTTTGCAGGTATCTATTCTGAACAGCTCTATTAAAATAAAAAATCAAATTGAGATTAGGAAATTTATGTATATACATTTTTTCAGGTGTTAGACTTAATCAGTGTGAAATTGTGTTTTGGGTTTGATGGCACTGCCTGAGACTTCTGTACATGCAGTACCAGATAACCCTCCTTGAAGCTTGCTACGGTTACTACCAGGTGTGGTGTATGCCTGTTGTCAGTCCAGCTAAGCCACAGACAAGCTTACTGCAATTAAATAGCAATTTGTTTCTATGAAACTGCAATTAAAGTATTACTGATCAGCCATTTTAGATTGGCAGTGCTGTGACTGCATGTTAAACAGAGGAGCTCTCGATTCCTTTCTGCAGTTGGAGAGCAAGTATCAGTGAGGTGCAGCACGCTCACCTCTGTCCCTTGTCAAGCTGGAACTATGAGTCCTTGGTGGAGTGCTCTGATCTCATCACCAGCATGCTGAGAGCGATGACAAGTCAGGGCTCATCTCTGTAAGTTGAACTTGCAGCTTACAGGACCTGAAGTTATTGCTGTTTCTGTTCCTGTATAAGCAGGGATGTGTACGCTTCCTACGGGGATGTTTTCAGCTCCAGATTGATTCTGTTGAGAATGGACAGCAAGTTGTGGGCCCCAAGCCAATAACGTTCTGCAGGTCCTGACTTGTTAGAGCTGTGTAAACAGGCCTACTATAGCTCCTTAATCATAACTGATAAAAGACTAGAAGAAAGCAATGTATTACCTTATAGGTTTGGTTTGTTTTGTTTGGGTTTTTTTTTTTTTTTTTTAATAAAAAGCAGAAGTTTATCTGACACTGTGATTATTTTCACGCTCATACAAGGGATGAGAGATTAAAGCAATCCGATGGGCTTACCTGTGTGCACCTGGGGTTTGCTGGCAACTATATGCTTGTGATATCCTGGGGAAGCCACAGTGCTCCTGCCCCTAGGCCTTGCAGAACCCACCAGCCACTGCCTGGAGTCCCTGACCAAGCTTCTATCATTCCTGGTTGACCTGAAATCTGAAATGTAAATTTTCAGTGCAAATTAAAAACTTGTTTGTGAGAACTCAGAGAGGAATTAACTTTGTAGTGGTAATTTTGTTTTTTAATTATCACCATATTTTAACAAAGTCTGAGACATGTTAACTTTAGTTCCGGCATTTTTGTGGAGTAGAGGCTGTAGACATCCTGGTTCCTCTGCCAGAGGGGATGACATCACACCTGTGGCATGCATGAGATAAGCATTGCTTCATTTAGGCACAGGTTCTTGGCTCTGAGAGATGTTCCTTGTGGGGGTGAAGGCTGGGGTCCTGCAGTGTGACCCATGGGGTGGGTGATTGCTGCTGGGGAAACCTGCAGGTTTGCTGGTCATGTGGCACATGGATAACAAATGTCACCTGAGCAGCTCTTGGCTCCTGGCAAATGGCAGGTAAAATGCCTGTGCTTAAACCTAAGTGAAAATGGCCCAGCTGACAGTAATTCATTCACCCTGGTAGAGCGGTCTTATGTCTGAGCCCAAGGCCTGAAAAGAGCCCTGTTTACTGGAGACAGACGCTACCGTGTTGAGGAATTTTTTTTTCCTTCCTCTGTGGGTATTTTTTAATGAGTTCTGTTGTTGTGTTTCTTTTCACAGTACTAGCATTAAGCTTACAGAAATGTTTTTGGTGTGCAGGAGGCTGCAGACTTCAGAGGGGGAGGCAGTAGGATGTTCGGGGATAGTTGGGGGTTGCTCACCAGAGGCTTTTTTTACCCCACTCCCCCGTAGCTTGTCCGCTGAAGGCCCCTGAAGGAGGGCAGTACTGAGGAAGGCTCTGAGGGGCTCAGGCCCCTGAAGGACCAGTCCTGAAAAGGGCCTCAGCTTTCAAACAGCACCCCAGGAAGGCTGGGCGTTTTAATAGGTGCTAACTTTCAGCAAATGTAAGCTGAACGTTCTCTCATATTCATTGTCATAATGGAGACCTTGTAGACCATTTTGCTATTTTTTTCTCATGTGTAATATCGCTCTTACATTTTTGTGATCATTTTATCTTCCTAAATCAGTTCTCTGCTACATTATTCACCTGAGCTTACAAATGCTAAAGCTTGAAAATTGTTTTTTTTATCACAATGTTTAAAAAATATGTTTTGCTTTTTAGAATTGTTTTTATTTGCTATTATGTATTTACCTTTAAAAAAACCAAAATCAAAACAAAATCCCTCAGCAATTTTGTTGAAACAGTCCTACAAACTGTAGCATTAAGACCAAAATTAGGCCTGAGACATGCCTGCCCCAAAATAATTTTTTTGAGAGAGAGTATAGTGGAGAGAAAATGGACATTTTGAAAGAAGTTGTTCTTCCTGGTTGGGTGCTGGCCCCAGTGAAGCTGCCCATGAGGAGGGCAGCATGAAAGGAGCCCCCACAGACAGAGCCTGCCCCGCCATCTTTCACAGCACTGGTGACATGTCCCCTCTGGTGCCCATCGTGTCCTTTGCTCTTAGTGGTGGCTGCTGAGCAAGCCAAAGTTCTCCCTGTGCAGTCAGATTCCTCTGCAGCTAAACCAGATGATGTTTCTTTCTCACATTGTTGGAATATGCTGTTAATTACATTTTGAAATATCCATATATTTTTCCTCTTAGGGGATCTTATGAGCAAGGTTCTCGCTAACAACTTCCGTGGTTCACCATAACCTCTCAGAATAATCATTGCTTCCATTGAACCTATGCCAGTTGTTTTGTTAAACTAAGTTGAGAGAACGGGGCCTATATTAATTCTCGAAAGGCAAGAGATTGCCCTGTGATTTGGGGAAATCTTGATTGCTTACAGTATGAATAAATGAACAAGGCAGATACTAACTTTACACCTGACTTCAATTTCTTTGAGCAGTGAAGAAATGTCCAGTAGGAGGGTAAAAATCCAGCTAAAACTCATAAGCCAGCCATTAATAGGCTAACTTTATTGTGCTGTAAAATCTTCAGCAGCTTATAGAAAACAAAGGGGCAATGAATGCAGTATTTGTCTTTTATTCTTAGAAAAAACCGTTAAGATCAAACGGCCCCTAAAAGACTGAGCTGATATGCATCCCACTTACATATTTTTGGATATCGTCTGATATTCATTCCACTGATGTATTTGATAGGTAATTACATCAGCCATATCGAGATGCTGATACCAAATAGTGGAAGACTTCAGTGTTTTGCCATAAAGCTTATACCCCTTGTTACTGAACTCTCATCGCACTTGAGATCTGCAGCAGTCATTTGAAAGCTGTAGTTGGTATTTTTGTGCTTATGCCACATTTAAAAATTATTATTCTTGCTTCATCAGTTAGTCTTTTTAGCTGACTTGAAAAAAAAAGCATATTGCAAATGAGCTACTATTCTTATTTGTTGTTTTAAGAAGGGTAAGCACTGAAGTATTCAAATGGAACAGATTATACCTTTAATTACATCCAAACAGGATGCTGAGCTGATTTTTCTATTTTCCGTTTAATTGCTATAGTTCAAAAAGATATTGCAAATTTGTAGATGAATTATTTAAGCATAGCCTTCTGGCCTCTGTGTTTACGGGAGAGACCAAATGGGGGCGGGGGGAGGGGGGGGGGAGAAAACAGAATTTAAAGGGAAAAATTACCACTTCCTTCTTTAAGAAAAAAGCTTGAATAAAACATCTTGGGGGAAGATTTTTTACCTGGAGAGATATTTTATGCTTCATGGGAGCATCTTCATTCTCCATGGGATTTGTTTGTATCCCACCAACCACAGCGGGTGCCTGGCTCCTGAGGGCCCCCCTGTCTCATGCCATGGGTACAGAAGTGCTGCTTCTTCTCCAACCTGCTCCTTGGTGACTGTGCCGCTGCACAGATGCGATCCCAACCAGCCACCCTTTTCAGGGATGTGCTCGATCTCTGTTCTCCTACGTACAAAATGAGAATAATGAAAGCAAGCACAATTCAGCAGTTCTTAAACTAAATATATTTCCATTTTGTTTGCATGTGCATGTGTATATATCATTCACTGTAAAGATTTTGAATATGTACAATGACATTACAGCCAGTGATAAATCCTACTCACTTACTATATGTGTTATTTGCTGCAACATTAAACTCAGTAAGAATTTTATATGTAACTTGTACCAAAACTAAATATATTGTGAAATTCATGCACAGCTGTAAACAAGTACATCACTCCCTGCTTCAACACAGTTGAAGGTGGCAGCTTGTGTGGCAATTCTTTTGTAAACAACTGTACACATTCCAAAGAATAAGCCAGTTAATTACATTTTTAATGATGTTTTTAGAAAATAATATTCTTGGTGGGGGGGAAAACGCCCAACCCATAAACCAACAAGAAAAGTAAACCTAAAGCTTGTACTGTATAAAGAAATGCTGTCAGTGAAAAACTGGACTCTGCTGGGTGCAGGTCTTTTGCTGCCCCCATCTTATTTTTTTTCTTGTGTTGAACTTGCCTGCATAAAATACTTTTTTATAGCTCTACTGTGAATTCAAAGAAAGATGACACTGGCAGAATCTATTCAAATTTTTTGGTGGATTATCTCATTTCATTATTTTCAATGCTACTAAGTATGTGCTACCCACTCAGAGAGCTGATGTGGTGCATAGCAAAGCTCAAGCTGTCCTCTTAAACACAAAAAGCTTATGCAAGGCCGTGACACAAGTAGGTTTTAAACTTCAGCAGTGTTGGCAGCTCTGAAGGGCTGATACAATACAGCCTTGCCGACACGTCACAGGTTACAGGGAGAGATTCAGGAAGAAACTGAACTAACCAGAGTAAGACTAGGACACAACTTTTATTGATGGAGTTCAGGGGAAAGAGACACCGGGGGCAGCTGTATTAATCCCATAATAACTTGAAATATAATCAGTACATTGCTGCAGGGATGGCTAGGAAGGCAGGGAGGTGGAGGTGTCAGGGTTTAAGTTCACAGGCATTCCCAGTTCATTAAAAAGTGAATCAATCAGAAAAACAGGCTGCCTTTTCAAAGGGCTGGCACTTGTGAACGGGCTACGGCTACGGACGTCGGGAGGAACACAGATGGTGAGCCCGGCCTCGTGCAGGGGCTGCTGGAGCTCACCAGCCATTCATTTGAGGAGACGGCTGTGTTCTACCCTGCTCAAACCAGTAAAATGTGTTATAATGTGCTAGGGGAGATTCTGGCTGCATTCTGAGAACTTAAAAGCTAGGCAGTGTTG